GTGAGGTGGAATCTCAGCATTGTTTTCATTTGCATCTCTCGAATGACTAATGATGTTGAACATTTTTTCATATGTTTATTTGCTGCTTTTACTTCTTTGAGAAATGTCTGTTCATTTCAGATGCCCATTTTTCAATTGGGTCTTTATATTTAGGGGGTCTGATTTTTTTGAGTTTTTTAATATATTCTAGATAGTAGACCTTTGTCTGAGGAACAGCTGGTAAATATTTTTTCCCACATTGTGGGTTGTCTCTTAGCTTTGAACAGAGTATTTTAAAGATGCCAAACATCAACCATTAAAAAATGTTTCTAGTCTATTTAAATAACAAAAGACATACTTTTTATTGATCATGATTGGCACTCACGTGAATCAGTTGTTTAAAACTATGAATTTATGAAGTTTATTTATTTACTTATTTACTTTTGTGGTACTAGGGATTGAGCCCAAGGCCTTCAGACTGAGCTGTCATTAGCCACCTTTTTTTTTTCTTTGAGACTGGTTCTTGCTCAGTTGCCCAGGCTAGGTTCAGACTTGTAATCCTCCTCCAAAAAATTTGTTTCTTCAATGCAATGGGTACTTAAGGCTTGCATAATAAATATATAATCATCCCAGACTATATTTTTACTTTATCATTTCAGGAGCAGCAGCAATAGCACGAAAAAATCCTGTTTCCAGCTGGCTCACTGCTATGCTCCATTGCTTTGGTGGGGGAATTTTATCCTGTATACTGCTTGCAGAGCCTCCATTGAAGTTTCTTACAAACCATACTAATGTTTTACTGGCATCTTCAATCTGGTAAGCTACCAGTATGGTGAACTATGAGATATTTTAACAAAATGTTTAGTAAATTGTTAGTAAAATAGAATTTTTTTCTTAAATATTTTATGTTTAAGTGTAAAATAAATGCCTTTCATGCCTTTCTCATCTTCTCCTAGAGGCAATTATTGTTTCCATTGTCTTATGTATCTTTAGTGAGAGCATTTCAAACATAAAGGGCATTCAAATATTTGATCCTGAAAAATTTATTTTGTGAGCCCAGCTCATACAGAGTTACGGTGTAATAAAAATCACGAATGTACCCGAGTTCGATCCCTGGTACCAAAAAACAAACAAACAAACAAACAAATCACAAATGTGACTAACCAAACAAAAAGTTCAAGTAATTTTGGCTCATGCATAATTGTTCTTGTCATACTCTTTGTTGGATTATTTAGAGTCTTATGAGAGTTTTGAACATTATTTTTTTTAGTTTTGAAATGAAGAGAAAATGTTACAAGCAATTACTTTGGATTCATGCAAATCCAAGCTCAGATATCCTTAAGATTGATGCATTGAGCTGAAAAAAATGTATAATACAAATCAGTGTGCTTGGTTCTATTGAAAGCAAAACAAAAAAAAGTGCTTCTATAACAATATTTTTAAAAGCACTTTGAAAAAGTTTTTATGGATGTAGATGCTGAAACTATATAAAAGGTAGGATATCCAGAATCTGATACTTTTCATTACTTCCACCTCTATTCTTGTATTAGCTACCATTTCTTGCTTGGATAATTTCATTAGCTTCCTAAGTGGTCTAACTGCTCTTTTCATTATTCCCTTGAGTCTTTTCTTCACATAGCAAATGAAGCAATTATTTTAAAATAAGTTAGAACATGTCACTCTATGCCCGATAGTTTATCTTATTATGAACAAAGTCCTCTTACAATGGCCTATAAAACCCTACAAAATCTTTCCCGAACTGTTTTTGGTGTAATGAGTTAGCATTCTGTTCCTTCTTACATCATTCTAACCACATGAACTTTGCTGTTTCTTGACACATAATGTATTATTTAACCTCAGTGCCTTCTTTTTTTTCTTCCTATGATATTCTTTCACCAGAGAGCTCATATATATATTTTTTTTTATCAGAGAGGCCTTCCCCTGACTGTCACATGATTTTTCTCTATTTTTCTTCTTAGAATTACTACCTGACATACTTTCTGTTGATTTTTTTTTTTTTTTAATGTTGGTCTGTCTCACTCAACTAGAATAACAGCTTATCAGAGCAGAGACTTTGTTTTGTTATCTGTGTCCAAGTACTGTTACAAATTCAGTGAATGGAACACAAAAGAAATGGATTGCTATATACTGATATAGGGGATTTCTGAATTTGAGTAGCAAGGAACTACAGATCATAATTAGTTGATCACTTAAATGAAATAAAATTGTACATCTATAAGTGTGTGCTTTCTTGGCTTAAGCTAAAAGGTATGTTAAATGGAAAATTTTAAATGCATTTTAATACAATGAATTAATAAGAAAGTATTTAATTATTAACTTCAGATCTTTTATTATTCCCATTTTACATAAGAGGACAAAAATAAGAGTTCGTTAATGGGAGGGTCTGAATTTCAACTCAGGCATTTAGATTATGAACTCAAGATAAATTTTCTCTCAACTATTTGGCTTTATTAAAATTTCAACTAAGTCTGGCATGGTGGTGCATGTCTGTAATCCCAGCACTTGGGAGGCTGAAGCAGGAGGGTTGCCATGAGTTCAAGGCCAGCCTGGGTTCCATAATGAATTCAAGACAAGCTTGGACCACATAGCAAGACCCTGTCTCACCTCTCCACCAAATTTCAACTAATACTGAGTGGGTATAAAATATTTTAAAAATATATGTAAAATATAAAGAATTCTGATGTAATAAAAACTTATGTTATTTAGATCAAGAAAAAAATTACCACTTAAAAATCTTTTTATTATAAAATGAACATTTAGAAAATCATAAGAGCCAAATATGTGGCCTAATGAATTATAGAGTACCTTCTTGTAACCATTACCCAAATCACCACAGAAGTCCTGTTTCCTTCCAATTTTAACCCCCTTCCCACCTTAAATAACCATTATAATAGCACACTGTTACTTTGGTTTTTGTGGAAATCACTTTGCATATTTTTATAATTTTGCCCTCAGTACTTATCCATAGATGTTAATAGTTTAGTCATTTCCAGGTTCAGATGGGCTATGAGGCTCTTTTTCTTTTAATAATATGAACACCCATTTACTCTTATTGCCTATAACTATTAATTAATTGGGAATTGTGAAATGATGATTATCTAATTTTTTATTTCCTTTTTATCAGTTAGAATATTATCATAAATAGCTATTTTTGACTATTTGGCAAACCATATAAAAAAGGAAGAATAAATGTTTAATTTCCTTTACTTACCAGTTTTCATACTAATGAACTGGTCCTTTGTCATCGTACAAAGATGAGCAGTTTTTAAAAGACAGTGCTATAATTAAGAGCTCATAGATTTAAGCATATTTTATGGGTTTCAGTACAGAACATTTCATTATTGAAGCTCAAATTATCTCATCTTTGGCCAGTAAGGATCCTCTTAAAATTGGCTCCTGAGATTTTGGATTCGCTTCCTTGTCTGGTGTTGCAAGATTCATCTTATACTTTTCTTCTGGAATCACTCATTTCTCTAAGAAACACTGGTTTCTTATAGTAAGAAATGGTATTTCAAAACCACAACTTTAGCATTAGACGTACACATTTTACTGAGTTCATCATTGTTCCTTGGCTATTTCAGTGAACAGAGGTAGGAAAAGTAAAGATAAAATAACTCATGAGTTCATATTTCTAATTCAAATTCAGGACTATAGAGCTTTTATTTAACTTATCTCTATTATGTATGTATCTCCTTCTATACTAAAAATTTTGGTTTTTCAAGGGATGGGTTATAATAGAATTAGAATTATTTTATTCTGTATCATGTACAGTGTAGTCTTAAGAGTACTAAGAAAAATTCTTAGAGCCTGTTAAGTACTAAAACTGTCACTGAGGAAAGGAAGAAGTTAAACTCATTATTTGCTGATGATATGATACTTTACATAGAAGACCCAAAAAACTCTGCCAAAAGACTTCTAGA